AAGAAGAATGAGCAAAAGACTAGACAGTTCACAGTAAAATATATTTAAAACATAATGAAGACTTTCAGCTCACTCAGATTAAGAAAAATCGAAATAAAATATGGAAAAAAATGGAAATAAAAAGTCTCCAAAACACTCTGTTTCATCTCATAAGTGGCCAAAAATTCTAAAATTAAAGAGCACACTCCATGGGCAAGGCTGTTTTCTTTCGATCGGTGTTGCAGGATATGTCTTTATTTTTTCTTCCATAATTTTACTCTCATCCTATCCATGTCTTTAAATTTGAGTGTCTCCTCTAAACGGCACAAAATTGGTCTTGCAGTTTTATCCAGACTGACAATCTCTGCCCTTTAGTTGGAATGTTTAATCTGCTTGGATTTAATGCAACCACTGATAGGGTTAGGTTGAAGAATATCATATTACTGTTTGATTTCTACTTGTGTGATTGATTTTTTGTTCCTTTCTCCTTCTTTTCCAGCCTTCCTTTATTGTATCTCATTTTGTCTTCTTTATTGGTTTCTGCTGAGATCTGTATATAATATTTTAGTGGCTACTCTAGGTTTGCAATTTGCCTCCTTCACATATCACAGTCTACTTTGAACTAATGTTATACCACTTCATGAAAGAACACTGGAGTAATGTATTTCCATTTATCCTCCCTCCTACCCTTTGAGTTATTTTTGTCATACATTTTGCCACTGTATTCCATAAATCCTAAAGCATTTTTGCCTTAATAGTCATTCATCTTTGAAAGAAATTTATATAAAGTCTTTTATATTTGGTCACATCTTACACGTTTATTTCTCTTTTGTGCTTCATGCCTACAATGGGGATCATTTCCCTTCAGGCTGAGGAACTGCCTTTAGTTTTTCTTGCCCTGCAGGGCTGTTAGCAACAAATTCTCGTACATTTGTTTTTCTGAAATGTCTTTACTTTGCCTTCATTTTTAAATAATATATTCACTGAGGATAGAATTCAGATATTGGTTGCCTTTTCCTTTTAACTACTTAGAAATGTCATCCCAGTGTCTTCTGACTTGCGTCGTTTCTGATGAGAGCTCATTGTTACTGTTATTGGTGTTTCTCTTAAAGTAGGGTATATTGCTTTCCTGTCTGTCTACTTTCAGCATTTTCTCTTTATCTTTGTTTTTTTTTTTCCATGAAGATTACTCCTGAGCCAACGTCCGTACCTGTCCTCTTCCATTTTGTATTTGTGGGACACCTGCCATAGCACAGCTTCATAAGCAGTGTGTAGGTCCGCACCTGGGATCCAAATCCGCAAACCCTGGGCCACCAAAAGAGGGTGCATGAACTTAACTGCTGCACCAGTCGGTGGGCCCTTATCTTTGGTTTTTACCAGTTTGACTATTATATGCTTACATGTGGATTCCTTTGTCCTCACCGAGGTTCACTGAGCTTCCCGAATCTGTGGATGAGGAATGTAGTCTAGCAATAGGCCTATGATGAAAAGGAACCAGTGGCTGCACTTCTTTTATGGTGAAATGTGTTTGCCGGATAAAAGCAGTGTTGTGTGGCATAGCAAGACAGGAAATCAACACTGTGATTTCTGTAAGTCCACAAAGGGGAACCAGCAGAAGTATGGTGGTGGGCAGGAAGGCAGAGCCACCCCAAGACATGTTCCCAAATTAGCAAGATCTCACATTCCTTTGGGGCTCTCTCCCCCAGGATCTGGCTTGGCGGTTCTCTCCCTGGCATCCTGGGACCCAGCTCTTCTGGTGGGTCTGGAGGGAAGGAGGGGAGATGGGAGTGGGTTTGGGTGAGTAGAGGCATTTCCTTGAGATCATTCCAGAGATCTTTTATTTATTTCTATTTAAATTTTTGTTACAGAGGTATTTGAGGAACAGAAGGATCTTTTCCTCAAAGGCAGGGGTGGGGCAGGGACACTTAAACAGATAAAGGAGATTTGAAGGAATCAGCATGATTAGGGGGTTTCCCCACCCCCATCTAAATGTGCCCCTGAGCAGACCTCAGCTCACTAAGCGAGGTGCTGGAATCCTTGTCACAGAATGCCTGCACAGCAGCCCAGAGGTTTGCTCTCCAGGGAGGTGTGTGAGCAGAAGCTCAGCTCTTGTTCAGGGATCCCAGGAAGTCATCATGGGGCAGGGTTAGACAACATGTCAGGGCTCTTGCTGGCCTGGCTGTCAGGGCGCCTGGGCTCAGTCCAGGCTCTGTTCTAACTCTGTGGTCCCTGCAGTCGGTCAGTGCCCCCTCCTGGGACTGTGTCCCTCCCTCATCTCTCACAGGAGGAAGGAGACTTACAGCAGGGTTGTCAACGTGTTTTAAGCCACAGAACCATTTCCTCAAGTACATGTTACATACACTCAATATGCATGTGCCAGGGCAAATTTTTTAAATATTATTTTTGTTTTGCTCTTGGCGTGTTCCTTTTTCTTTATTTCCATCAAGGAACCAGTTTGTCAGTATGTCTTCGAAGCAGGGATATTTTTTCTGCTCTAGATCATAAGCTGTGTGTCCTCACTGCTCTGCCCTTGTGAAAGTGTGTGCAGGCATGAAGAAGTGGTGTTGCTGCCTGGTCTGTGCACAACAAGGTGGGAAAGACCATGCCTGTTAGGGTTACATGATCCCAGAATACGTACCCTTTGTCATGAGAGGGTAGTGCTGTGTGTGTTTGGAGCAGGAGCTCAGAGCTGAAATGTATGCTCAGCTCCCAGGTCCTGCCCCATATGAGCAGCAAGCCCTTGGAGAGATGGCTGCTGGGAGTGTTTCCTGAGCTGAACCCAACTCAGGGAGATCCTCATTCAGCAAAGGATCCTGTACTCTATGTGTAGGCTCTAAGCCAAAACCATCCCAAAGTCGAAAAATCTGTGTGGTCTGGAAACTACGGATGCAGCAGTATCCACGGTGGCCTAAGAGGAGAGACCTCTCTCCAGTTTTCCAGACCATGTGAACCTCCCTGATTCTTGTTTGATTCTGTGCAGGCAGGAGGTACAGCAACCACAGGGATCATGTTTCCGAGCAGTCCAATTGGATGGGTGTTTAGAGTCTGACTCTAATTCCCTGTGAACAAATACGTAATACAGTTTTTCCTACTATCTGAATCTGTACAATGACATTCCTACCTGCTACTTTTAAGACAAATGATGGTAAGGCTGTCCTCTGTAGTGGAGGAAGACATTTCCTCTACCTTCTCTGGGTTCATCTGGCTGGATAACGAATTAAATTCACATGAGACAGAATAGCAGGAGAAAATTAAACAAAGTTTTATAACATGTATACATGGGAGTGGCTCAGGCAAGCTGAGCAACTTGCCAAAATGGCTGAAGCCCCCACCTTAAATATCATATCCTGCTAAAGACAAAGGAAGATGTTGGGGGTGGGGGGAGTCAGTTACAGGAGGTTACCAGACAAGCACAATAGACAAATGCAGATTTAAGTCCTTGCCTCCCCCATTGATTAAGAGTTTCTAGCGATAAGGTCATCACCCATTCTTCAGGGTAGAGAGGGAGATATCCTTACAGATGGAGATTTCCTTTACAATGTAAATGTCTCTTACAAAGGGTAAGTAAATTCTACTTTTCAGTTGCTTCCCTGTCTGCAAAGTAACCAGCGCCAAATAATCATCATGCCAAAGAGAGATATGTTGGTGTGGCCAATTCCAGGCCCCCACACCTTGCTGCCCATCTCCCTCCCTATGGGCTGCCCTCGCCTCTAGGTTAAGATGATGCTCCAGTGGACAGAGTTTGGTGACTTTACCCCTGGAAACTAAATGACTGATGTCATTTACAAATCCCACCCACGAGATCTAGGCCATGTGGCCTCATCTGAGGAGGGAAGGAAATTTACATGATTTGGGTACAACTCACACAGTCAGTGTCCCTTGGTTTCAGATGACAGAGTGTGTTAGGTCAACTGTGGATTCCCAGTGCTGAGCACTCAGGTGCTCAATCAGGGTGTGTTTATTTATTGATGGAAAAATTGTGCTTTTCAGCCCTACTGTAGAGAGGGTAGGGCTAACTCAAAAGGCTGAGACAGCCCTAGGTGCCAGTGAGGGGTCTTAGCCTAGAGGCCAGCAGTGACTAAGACGAACAGGCTGAAAGGGACTCAGGTTATCAAGGGACCAGGTGGCCAATGCACTCTGAGCACTTGGGGGACACTGGGCTGGATGTGAGGGGTTGAGCCGGCCTTGCCAGGTGAGAGATGGGGCAGGGGTTCTGGAGAGACAGCCTGTCTGTTGTGTACTCCATGGGTCCGCCTGTTGCCAGCATGATCCTGGTCCCTTGTAGCCCTCTAGGACAGAACATGAGCTGGGCTGACCTCTCAGGGGAGAGGCCCTGCTGGAACCACACAGGGCTCTTGGTGTCTTAGGCAATGAGGCTATATAGAAGTGGCCAACTCAGATCAGGCTTGTCTGAAGGGGACATGAGTTGGTGGACACTGATAACTCTCCGTGGAAAGCAGGGATGGAGAAGAAGGGGCAGCCAGGAGACTGGAGGGCAAGCTGGGCCCCAAGGTCACAGGAGGGCAGGGAGGAAACTCAGGCTGGGTGAGATCGAGGAGCTTCTCCAGCGACCCACCCTGACTCTGCGCCAGCTCCCTGGCTGTGGGAGAGAAATGTCCTGCTCAGGTCACCTCTCTCCTCCCCAGTGTGGTGCGTATGTCCTTGAGCTGCAGCCACAGGCTTGCCTGCTTGGTGTCTGGGACCCATGGTGTCATCCCCCTTCCTCTCTGCCATATAACACAGGGAAGGAGGTAAGAAGTTCACCCTGAGCCCCAAGACCACAGAGGTTCATGTTTTGTTCTCATGGTGCTCAGCTGCAGCCCTGGCAGAAGGGAAGGCCCAGAGAAAGATGTGGGTGAGAACGAGCTGGGTAACAGCTTTACTTGAGGTTTGGGGGAGGTGTTGCTGGGGTGGGGAAGAGGAGGAAGCAGAATACAGCAGATTTGTATCATTGGCCTTCTAAGGACAAGTAAGTGTCTGTGAATCAGGGTCAATGAATAAACAAGAAACCAACCCTCCCCGCTCAGCTAAGAGACATTTATTTAGTTGCTGGTGACATTCTGGATCAGCTCCAGAGAAGGTGGGCTGGTTCCTATACTTAGGGGCATTTCATAGCATTTCATGGTTTCCTTTATCCAGGGCAGGAACCTCGAGAGTTTGATGAAGACCCGTGGAGGTGTCCCGTCAATTCGTCCACCGAGGGCAATGCCCTGGATCACGTTCGCACAGATGAGAGGGCTCCCAGTGTCCCCCTGTGGACAGAGAGTTGGGAGGACTGTGTCCGTGCTCCCCGATCCTGCCCACCAGCATCCAAAGTGCCCTCTCAGAGAAGTCCGCCTGGCGTGGCCTCCATGTGGGAGATCAGAGAGCCGGGCAGGCCCCTGTGGGCCCTCTCAGCTGCCCCGTCCTGACCCTGGACATTGACCCAGCTTCATTTCACTCAAGGGGCGGCTCCCTCTCCTCCACTAGGTCCTGGATCCTCTCCCCATGAGGGCGCTGTGGGACTCTGCTTCGTTCTACCCTTTAAGGACATGGAAGCAGGCAGGTGAGGCTGACACTCAGCACGGCAGATGAGCCATTTAACAAAGATGGGAGCCAGCTCTGAGGAGCCACCTGGTTTGACTGCTGCACACTCAGGGAGCAGTTTTCTAACACCTGTGCCCGGCGTGGGGCAGAGTGTTGCTAATTCATTTTCCGAATGGAGCACCATGTTTGGATGCATCTCAGGCCCCTGTTCGGCTCCCAGAAGGCCTATGACTCCCCACTCCAGTTTCTCCCCCATTCTCTTCCCAGGAGAATGCTCAGAGTCTAGGGGATGGAGGAGTCCCTACTGCTTGGGTCTCCAGGTCCTGAAACACCCCTCTCCCCAAAGCCGAGCTAGGCAGATGCCCAGTCTCATCTGAAAGGAAATCTTCCTTTCCTTCGGGTCCCCCACACACAGCAGAGTGGTACAGTTGTAATGATCATGTAAGCAGGATTCGCACACCTGTTCCTGCTGCACAGTCAGCTCCACATCCTGCAGTGCATTGGAAATTATGCCATTGGGGGCGATTAGCCTCCAGCCTGCCACACGGCACACCTCTCCAGGCCTCACCTGGGCTGTGCCCCTGGGCAGGATGAGGGGCCACACAGCTGCAGTCCACATGGCCTTTCTCTCTAGCTGATGAGAAGAGGCATGTAAATCCAGCTCAGCCACTGGCCTCCTGAGCCAGGACACAGTGATGGGGCTGCACTGACTTCCCTCTCCCCTGAGCAACTGGGACTAGTCAGGTGGCCAGGAAGGGAAGGAGGGAAGGGACAGGTCCCAGTGGGAGGGGAAGCAATCTGGACCCAGGACAGCAAGAGCAGCAGGGAGGATCCCTACCTTTAGTATCATGATGTCATTGAAGTATTCACTAGGAATATAGTCTGGGTGGCAGATGGCTTCTTTCACAGGGATGACCTGCCAGGTTCTCTCTTGATTCAGGATGTCGTGGGCCCCCAGAATCACCCTGATTGAACTGCAGAGAAAGGAGAGTGGGGATGTGGGGGCAATCAGTCGCAGGAGATCCAGCCCTGGAGCCATGATGGGAGGGTGCCAGCCGTGGCAGGGCAAGGCTCCAGTTAGGGGAAATCGAGAGCACTGGAGGACCCGGTTCTGAGTGACTGTGTGTCCCATGCTTCTCAAGGACACTGAGAGGAGGGCTTTTGGAAGCTTTCTCTTGCCCTCAGGCAATATTGTGAAAGGCCTCTGAGTTTGCCTGTTGACCAGAATGCATGCTTTCATCCTCCACAGCTGCTTTAGTTGGCCATTGTGGTCTCTCTTCTCAACTGAGCCTCTTGCTCTCACCTCTGACCCTCGGACTGCAAAGCTTCCCTGTCCTATTTCTCACTTTCCATGGCCCAGCCATGCTCTCAGATGGCTCCGCGCAAGAGCTTTTCTGGCACTGAGTTACCAGAAGCTGAGGGAGCTCCCCTCGGCTGCTGTCCATGGGCAGAGGACAGGGCTCCCTGTTGGGGTCTCAGGAGGTGTCAGCTGTCTGCGGCTCCTCACCGTCCCCAGCTGTCAGAACAACGTCCAGTTCCACGAGGACACGGCCACAAGTCTTGGCCATCCTCTTCATGGAAACCTGAACCAATGCCGTGTATGGGCGAGAGTGGGGCCTGATCTCATGTCCTCCGATGATGATTCCTGAAAGGAAAAACTGGAAGATGGCTTTCTGGAAACAGCTGTGGTCAGGAGGGAAGGCTCCAGAATGTGGCAATTGAGGGTGGGGTCTACAATGCCATGCAGAAACCAGGCGAGAGTCCTCCCAGGTTCTCCCTGGAGCAGAATAACTTTTTCGGAATGTGGAGCCTCCAAAGCCCCTGTGAGAAAGCAGAGGATGGTGCTTCTTGTCCCTGTCCTGCTTCAAACCACATATGGGAGGGATGAGAGCTGTCTTCACAATGGTGGAGCCCGAAGGGATTGTGGACAGGGCTCTGCTGATGCCTTCTGTGTCAGGGAGTCTCCCAAGCCTTCTCAGTCTTTGCTAAGGTGACTGGTGCCTGTATCTACGAATCTGTCCATGAGCTTATGGAGTTGGATTTTCTACAATCCTCATGTCCTATGGGCTAACCTGTCCTGGGATCTCAGTGAAAATATTTTGACTGTGTGAATGAATGGCCTTCACTTAGCTTTCTGCTGAGGTTTGGTGGGGATCAGGCTTGTGGGATTGAAGACCATCACCATGTAGGGAGGGCCCTGTGTGGAGCAGCCTATGGCTTGGGAAGGCGGGGGTGGTGGGGCGGAAAATGGGATCCCTGGGCCTCTGGCAGAGCCAAAGCAACAGGAGAGCCCTGCATGCAGTCACCCAGCCCCTTCTGACATCCACTGCTCCCTGGGGTCCTCTCCTGGGAGGGGTGAGGGGATGAGGGCACCAAGAAGTGAAACTATTTTTTAGCTGGTTCCAGTGACAGTTCCACTACTGCAGCTGGTTTGTCTGATCTGCCCTCTCCTGAGTTGGACTGAGGGATTTTAATTACTTATCTTTTAGAGCTCCATTTCCTCTGCCAAATGCCTTTCTATGAATAGCCCACTTTCCAGTTGATAAGAGAGAAGCTCACACACTAAATCTTTTAGTGAACACCCTGCCTTCCTGCCATCCTTATTGTGTGTCTATGTAGCATCAGTCTTGTTAGTCTGTTTGAGCTGGGAGCTGGGTTCTAGAAAATTCTTGGTCTGAAATTGAGGAAAATCAGTGACTGTGCTGGGTAGAAGGGTCAGGAGTCCAGAGGGTTTTGTGAGTTGGGCTGGAGCCTCTGGCATGGGGATGGTCACTCACCTGTTGCAGGCTCAGGGGGCAGAAGAAAGGCCAACAAGAGCAGGAGTGGCTGCATCTTCCTTGAAAGTCCGCCCAGGTCAGAGCTGCTGGTAGCTCTTCCTTCTAAATACTTGGTCGGGGAAAGGAAGGCAGGGGTGTGGCCCAGGGCCTTACAGACCTCCTCCACCTGTGCTGCTGGTTATCCTGCATCATCTGCAAGGTGATTTGTCGAAGTTCTCTGGCTTTGGGTAGGTGACAGAAGCAGTCTCATCACACTTGCACTCCCAGTGCTGAGTCACAAAGTAAATGCAAGAAGAAAGAGCAAGAAAGGGGAGCCTTTGCTGCAGCCAGCAGAGGAGCTGGACCCTAGGATCCCCTCAGTGACCAAATCAAGAATGTCTCTTTTTCTCAGCTCTTGGCTCCTTTTCAATCCTGATGAAGTCATGAATAATTATTTACCAAGCTAACTCCAGGGAGATGAGCATGATGGCTCCTCTGCTTGAGAAGATGGCGGTCAGCTGGGGTAGACTGAGAATCAGTGGTACCAGCTGGTAAAGGCTGTAGTGGGGGTCTTCTTGGTGGTGGGAGATAGAGGCTGGACCTGCCTTAATAGCATACAGAGCTGGAGAAACCCAAACCCCAAATGGTAAGCCCAATTCCTCTCTGGCCACCAGTCTAGGCTTGTATTTTGGAATATTTAGAATCCCCTCTTTCATGTAAATATTCTATGACAAACAGAGCTTCTCTTATCCCACGATTTTGAACCAAGTTCCTGGACTTGATATTCCTTGAACCAAAAGAAACCATCAGCGGGTCTGTCAGAATTGAGGGGCCTGATTGGTTTATGCTTGGGTCTTGTAGCACGAGGTGGGGACTGTTACCCATATCATAGTGCCTGGTATCTGGGCAGAGGGTTCATCTCAACAGCTGTGGGTCACTGTCACCAGGCAATGGGGAAATGGATGCCAATTGTCCTAATAATTCCTATGCACTAAGGAGTCTGTCTGGGGTGCAGTGAATCACGGCTCTGATGTCCCTGTGCCTAACAGTTATAAACATTTGCAAACAGATTATCCCAACACTCTCACCAGTGTGATGAGAGGTGAAGGAGTCATGGAAAGGGAGGCATCATGAGTTCTAACAGCCAAACCCCAATTCTGCTGAAGGAACAGCATCCTATGAAGACATAGAAAACAGAGGAAGGCAACCTGCTTAAGCGTTAAGGATGAAGATGACTGGGCGGTGGAATTCTCAGGAATTTTAATGTTCTTATTGCTGTTTTCTGCATCTACTGTTTTTCTCTATGAGTATTAATAGTTTTCCACTCAGCGTACATTTTCCCATAGTCAAACACACTCATGAACGGCAAGCATTCAGCAGACTACTTCCTTATGCTCTACCTTCTCTAAGGTGGATGTTTTAAAAATGAGGTTACTTTTCTGAATCCATTCTCATATAAAACAGACATTCTTGATAAATAGAAGACATATTTACTCAATATGCTATAGGCTCTAGCATGTTATGGTGAATGAAGGAGGAATCAATGATTTCCACTCTAGAGATGGGAGTTTATTAATTCCCTGGCAGCCTCCCCTCCCCTCCACTCTGGCGGGGGCAGTGCTGGCCTCTGCCCCTGAAAAGATGGACGGATCAATCCTGGGGGTACCTGAGTCTGGTCATGCCGTCTGAAGTATTGTGCTTTTCTCCAGGTGTAGAAGGCTGAAGATCCTGGTGAAGCTATGTCAAAGCTTCCCATTCTTTCTTGCGTAGGAGTCAATGCCCTTGGCCGCATTGTTCCACATGAGTGTGCCCCTGGAGTCCCTCTGTTCACAGAGAAGGGTGAAGTCTCAGTCAGAGCCCTCTGGCTTCACCCTGCTCAGCATCCTTTTCTCCCTGGGGCTCTCCTGACCACCTCTCAGGGCCCAGCTGTTCAGAGAGGTAGTGGCTGAGTGTTCACCATTCACCTTGGCTCTGAGTTTCAGGGGGATTGCTGGCTCCCCTGTGATCTACCTGCACCATGAACCTGTGTCCTGGCTGTGTCCTCTCTCCAGCTTCACCCAGTCCCAGGCCCTCATCTTATTGTCCTTGGACAAAGGTCAAGTGATTGGCTTGAGGGAGATGCCTGGGTTAAACCTGCTGGGAACAGCAAGCCTCCACCCATGAGTGGACCCAGGTCAACCATTGGTTGTTGAGTGAGAGAAGTCCTGGCAATGTCACCCCAGCATCACTGTGTCCCTGGGGCAAGGATGGGAAGATTCTTTTCTCCTTAGGCTTGCAATGGCCTTCTTGTCCTTAGGCTTCCCCACACACAGGTGGATGGAGTTTTTGAAGAGGTCCTTGCACTTCTGCTCATTCTGCACGTCTACATCCACCTCCTGGAGTGTGTTTGCCTTTTTACCACTTGTCACTTGTCCCCAGACTGCCACACTGCACCCCTGCCCGGGCCTCACCTACTCTTGTCTCTGTGGCAGGATGATGGTCTTCACAGCTGAGTTGAGGTGAGACTTGCTCTGCAGCTGGTCAGAAAGGAAAAAGATGGCAGTTTGGGTCCAGCAGGGCTCAGATCCACGGGTGAGGTTGCCCCCACTCCCTGCCCGAAGTCTCCCAAGCCCCCTCCTATTACACAGGCCCAGGAGAGCAGACAGGGTGGAGGAGAGGGGGGGACTGAGACCCTGAATGAGTTATCTGCTCCCTTGTGAACTGTGCAATTGCACCTGAAATTCAGCAAGATGGTATGTTCAGTAGCATGATGTCGTTGACCTTTGAATAATTATTATAATCCTTGTTGAAGGAAGGCTTTGAGCACAGGAATGACCTGCTGGGTATGTTCCATTTTTCTGATATTGAGAGCACCCAGGATCACACTTCTTTTTCTATAAAGAAAAGGTGGATTGGGTAAATCACAGGAGCTACAACTCAGTCTCTGAAAGGCAGGTTGAAGTTCCAGCCTAAGGCACACCTGCAGCCAAGTCAGATAGGGAGCAAGGGAAAAGTGGACAGTGTCACCTTTCTTGGCTGGACAGCAGTGACCCAACCTGGTTCTTCAGCAGCCTGTTTTCCATCCAGATGTCTCTCCATGTAGTCCACCCCTGAGTCCCACAGTCACTGTGTCCTCGTCTCAGCAGATCAGGTTGCTCCTCTGATTGGTCATTGGCTCTGTGTGCTCAGTGATTCTGCTGAGTTCCAGGCCTTGAGACGCTACCATGGAATCCCAGGAAGACAAGGACTCATCTGTGCTCCTCACCTTCCGTTGCAGTGGGCTATGTCACAATGTTGTCTTGTACCAGGACCCCCCACATCTACTCCCACCATCTACATTATTGTGGGAAAGTACAGACGCCATGTAAGGCAGGGACTGTGGTCTGGCCTCTCTACCCCATCTGATCTTCCCTGAAAGAGAAAATTGCCCTGGATCTCTGTGTTCATGGCAAACATGGGCCAAGCACTGCCTCGTGGCCTAAACCCATGGGATGTTCAGAGGCTGAGGTGGTTTGAGTGTCCTCAGGGACCAACACAATGAGAGGGGGCTGCAGGCTTCAGAGGGCAGCTGGCGGGCTTGCAGCATGACTTTTGTTCCTGGCTTAGTTCTCTGTTTCCTCCTGTAGAGATGAGGTGCTCAGCCCTTGTTCTGGAGCAAACACAATTCAAATACATGTTAATGGGACTCTCCTAGAAGACATGCAAACTGATATCTCCGACCTAGCCTGGTGAATTGGTCCTCAAGCTGTTTAGACCTCTGTGATCCACTTACCTCTAGAATGGATCTGGTCCTAGACTTGAACATTTCATGCTCATGGAGCCAAATACTCTGGTTTCTTTCTTCCCCATGTGGCTCAGGCACATACTACAAATCCCATAAATGCTTGCTGGGTACATGAATGAACAGTCCTCAAATCTGCTTTGGTCAACAGCAGAGGAGGAGTGGTTTTAATCCAATCTGAACTTCATCACAGCTTTAACTTTCTAAGTCACCCAGAAAGCAGAATACAAATGATGGGAAATCAGAGGGAGATGGGGAAATGGGCTAGAGGGGCCTGGGTGGCAGCCAGTCTCCACTAGGAAGGTGGGAGCAGCAGTGAGGCAACATTCTGATGGTTCTATTAGGTTCTGGATATGTGCCCTGGGAGAGCTGAGTGGCTCCGAAGAATAGGGAGAAGGTGAAAGTGACACCTAGGAAATGGAGTATTAGCTAGCTGTTCTGTTCTTGATCCATACAATA